CTTGTCCTTTTCCTGGGTGGGAGTACTGTTGGCCATCCAGTGCAAACTAGGGATGTTAAAGACTGGTTAATGGAATAAACTTTAACAACAAATAGTCTTGTAAGGTACTACAAGACTATTTTGTTGTTGTTTTTTAAGTTTTTCCATTTACAGACTAACTTGGGTACCCATCTGAAGTGGTTAATTGAATAATTGACTAAACTCATGTATTCTTATTGGTTAGTCGACTATTCCATAGTCCTCAGGAGGGGGGCCAGCAGCCAGGGCATTCTGGTCCCACTCGAAGGAGTCCCCTGCCACTCTGCGCTGCTGCCTCTGTTTCAGAGGCAGAAGCATGAGGTACCAGGCTGGAGCTGGCCCTCAAGGGGAGCCAGTTTAAAAAACAGCTCCCCTTGCAGAATGGCTGCCAGTTGCCCTGTGCTGCTGCCTCTGATATAGAGGCAGCAGTATGGGGTGGCAGCAGCCCTTGTCTAGGGGTGGGATGGGGGAGGAGGGGGTTTGAGCTCCCAGATCCAGCGTGAGCCAGAACTGAGCTGGGCTGCCTGCCTGCCTGGCTCCTAATAAACTTTAAATGCAGAGCCGCAACAGGGTTAGGTCCCGGACCCATCACAAGCCAGGACTGGACTAGGCTGCTGGCCATCCTGCTAAAACAGGGGTTGGCAACCTATGGCTCACGAGCCTCTAGGGAGCTAAATATGGCTCTTCTGGAGCCTGAACTTGGCTCCCCTCTTATTCCCACTGCAGTAGGGAGCCAGTGCTGGTGCTGGAACCTTACAGCCCCTGCAAGACTGGAACCATGGAGGGTGGTGCAGGGAGGAGAAAGCCCCGAGGCTCCCCATCGAATCGGGCATGTGGGGAACAAGCAGAGCTAAAAATGCCTTGGGATGACAGCATTTTCCTTTCCCTCAGCTTGTGGGAAACCAGGAACCAAAGATAGCAGTGTTTAGGGAGCTAATTTGTTCCCTTGGAAAACATTTCCTGCAGCCTCCCCTGCCAACTCTTCCCAGCGGCTTCCTGTTGGTGAATGGGAACAGTGGGAATTGTCACATGTTTCTTACTGCATGATGCGAAAACGAGTGTCCCCCCCCTCCGACCCTCTCATGCCCAGACACCTCCCACTCACCCCCTAGCCAGAATTTCCCCTGCTCTCAGCCCCCTGGCCAAAATCCCCCCTGCTTCCTGGTCAGACACCCCTTACCCTCTGCCGAAAATGCCACGTCCTCTGCACAAAATCCTCCCTGCCTCCTGGCCAGTCAGCCTGCCCCATGGCCAGATCTCTCACCCCCCTCCTACACCCCACCTCCTGGTCAGATTCTGTACTCCCTCCCCATTATCATTCACTGGCAGCCCTGTCTCACATACTTAATGTCTCATTTTTGGCCCCAACTCAGAGCCTGGTGGGCGGGGGGGGGAGCACAAAATCCACTTATCGTGTAAGGTCAGAAGAGTAAATCTGGCCTGAGGCCTTGAACCTTAGTCCTCCCTGTCCCTCCCCCCACTATGGGAATGGAGCATCAGGGAAGTGAGGTGTTTCAGTTGGGGACCATATCAGTGAGGGTTGGGGGTTTTTGGAGAGGTTTTTTGCTTCTCATTTGTATGGCTCCCAACTGATTTTTCTGAGAGTCACTGGCACCCAACCCAAAAAAGATTTCCCACCCCTGCCATAAATAAAGACAATGTTGAAGCCTTTTGTGTTGGACATAATATTGTACTTTGTTTACAAATGAAACCTGGCCAACAAGCCCCCAGTTGGTGCCTAGCCCCTATCTTGCTGCAGCATCATAACACTCCTGCAACCCTTCACCCACACCACCCATGAGCCAATCTTACACCTGAACCCCTTGCCCTGAGCCCCTTCTATCTTCACAACCTCAAACTCATGCACCCCCACATCCTCAGTCCCCTGTCACTACACTCTGGAACCTCTACACACCCCAACCTTGTGCCCTGAGTCCATTATACATCCCAATCTACTACTCTGAGCCCTTCATACACCCCAACCCAGAATCCTGCACCCCCACATCACCAGCCCCCTGCCATAAGATTGACAGAAGACAGCTTGAATGCATGCATGAAGCTGGATTTGACCAGTTATGATGCAAACTTCAAAGAACTTTGCGAAAAGATGCAGTAGAAGTCCCATTAAATAAAGTCTGTGAGTACAATGTTTCATTTCTGCTATCATTAATCATTATGTCAATTATTGATAATATTAAGTTGTATATTTTCAATCATGCTAATAGGCATTCTTCTATGTCTCTTTGGTTGTATATTTTCAATCATGCTAATAGGCATTCTTATATGTCTCTTTGTTGATTCCTTGTTCTGAATTTTGATGTAGTTTCGCTCTTTGATTTGAAAAAGTTTCTGATCCCTGTGCTAAAAAATGTACTGGCTGGGGGAAAGTGGGGGGCAGGGGAGAAGGGAAAGGAAATGCATGTTCTATAGCATTAACCTATAAGCTTTTGCTTATTGGTTAATTGACTACATTATTACATCCATAGTGCAAACAGTTTCTGATCTTCTTGATAAGAGACAAGATCAAACCATATGTTTAAAATTTACACTGGAACCACACTGAACTCCTGTGTGGCTGAGGTTTTTATTTGTTTTTCCTCTCAGTGTTTGCTACCTATCGATAACAATAGATTTGGTTGAATTTATGTAATTTTTATTGCTTGTCTGTCTGTCTTTACCAAAAAAAAAAATCCAAATACAGAATCTCACCAACATTTTATCTTGGGCCAGAATGATTATTGTAAGCTCTATTTAAAATTATTAAAATATTCAGTAGAAAGTGAAGTGCTTATGTAATTTGCTGCTGAATACTACATGCAAGTAAAATACTACATGGACTTGGAATCATTTGTTATATTTTAGTGTATGAAGCAGTAACTGTGTAAACCTTAACCTTGTAATTTTGTGAGTTCTACTTTGTCATGTATCTGTAACAGGTAATCAAAATAAATCATGGAAGATGAAGAAATATTTTTCCAGAGCTTTCGGTGTGCTTTCAGAAGTGGAGCTTGATCCATGAAATTTTAGTAAGCATATTAAATAATATAATATATGCAACATATTAGATCTGATAAATGTCTTATACAAAACAATTTATACAACATATGTTGAACTGCGATGTGAACAACTTAATGATTATAAATTATGTTAATCTTTCTTGCTATATTTACTTTTTGTTAAAATCATAGCATAGTTTCAAATGGTCTAATTTTTTCAGAAGATAGTAGATATAAAAAAAGGTGCAGGTCATCTCCAAGATGGTATGACAGTGATCCAAGGTTCCTCAGCTGTACCATGTACATAACACAGATGTTGGGAGAGTCATCTGTCAGCTATGCCTCTCCTATGGAGTTAAAGTTCTAGAGGGAAAAGAATTCGACACAGTGCTGTCACTGTTACATTTTCACAATAGAAGAGCATGCAAATATTGAACCTCCTGCTTAGCTGCAGTGCCCTGTCTAATGTCTGTGCTGGTTAGAATAAAAAAATAGTGGGTGCATCTAGGACTCATAGATCTGACAAAGGTCATGCTATGCTGGGTATTTGAATTGGAAATTGTCTGGACTTAGATTTTATAAAGCTCCCAGTGTTGTCGGGGAACATTTCAGCAGGGTTTTGTCCCTGGAGAGGCCTCTTAGGCCCCTTTCTGTCCTATGAATGAATTTAGATGTGAGGGTTTCTCCTGCCTTAAAACTGTTAAGTTCATTTTGCATACATCCCTAGAGAGAAAAACTGGCAGATGCTTTTGTCTTGGAAGTGTTTAAAAGAAAACTGCGGAACAGGAACAAGAGAGAGAGGGGGCCCTGTGTGGAGTCCCAGAACATTTTGGAAATGACCAATATGCAGTTTTCATCAGTACTAAGGCGGGGCGCAATATGGTGCCTGTAGCTCACTGGGGAATATGAATGTTGATTAAGCATACTCCGAGGCTTTGAAATTCTGAAAGCAGTGTCAGAATAATGGATGTTGAGCAAATGTCAAGCATTTGTTAATTTCTCTGTTATTTGGAGTTTATCTACCATGATCAATCAAATAAACTAGTGCTTCTCTGTTGTGGCATGTGTCATTGATATGGTGATTAGATGGCTGGAGAGTCCTTCTGGGTTTTTTTTTTTCAGGTAACAGATTACATATAAACAGTCATAACTTTATGTTAAAAGAATATATTTTTTTTTGTGATTTGGTTTAGTGAAAACTGGTACATTAGCAGCGTTCTTTGTGGTACCAAGAAAAAATTGAGTTTGAAAAATTACAAGAATGATAAAGGACATTTAAAAATCTGTAACTTGTAGTGCAAATAAATATGAAACGCAATTTTTTTCTTTGTACCACAAAGAACTTGCTGCTTAAAAACAAAACAGATCTTGACATCCCTGTTTTTACTGGAAAACTGAATTTAAAAAGTCAATTTAAGAAGGAGAGATATAGAATCTGTCAGAACTTTTTTTTTTCTCCTTAAGTATTTAACAGGAGAAATGAGTTAACTAAGTTATCAATAACATGCAGAAATGTAAATAGTCTGACTAAAAATTCCTTCAACTATGAATTCTCACTTTCTGGTCTTTTGCCTTTTGTGATGTCATGGTTACTCTAATTCTGCAGTTTTCCTAGGAGTCCTGTACCATATTAGGATCTGATATTTCTAATGCAAAGAAAAAACAGAAAAAATAACACTATCATGTGTCTTGAGTGTTGTAAATTGAGTAATCCCCTATGTTGAACAATAAATTTAGATGTTAGCTGCTGCTTGTCCCTGTCTCCGCCACCTTTTTCTTTTAACACTGCCTTTGTCCTGTGCTTCTTCAAAGTTCAAAATCTCTCCTCCTCCTCCCCCATGGTAAATTGCTTCAGCCTATTACAACAGGGCACAAGGGAGCAATGTGGTCAGCGTCAAGTCTGACCACCTTTGCCTGACATGTTAGGTACCCATTTTACAGCTGGGCGAAATGGAGATTTCCTTTCAGAGAGAGATCAATGGAAATTCCAAGCCACAACCTTCAGGGTTGTAGTCAGTTGGCTTTTCCACTTGGCCACCTATTCTTGGCTTAAAGGAATTGTGGCAGTTCAGACAGGTGACATGGCTGGCATCTATGCGAGGTTAGCCATTACTTGCATTCAAATCCTTTCTAGTTTGTAGATTAGGTTTCAAATAAAATTCCTATTCTTTTGCTCCCTTACGGGGGAGAGCACTGTGATTATGTCACATTAAGGAGAGAGGTACAAAGACCACTGAGGAGTGCTTTAAGTGTGTAAATATTTGTGGGTTTTTTCTTTTTTGCTTGGGGGTTGGAAATAAACAAAGTAAAAACTGCAGGGGAAAGCTGTATCCTGTCATGAATCTTTTTTCTCAAATGTTCTCTGTACATTCTTGCAACTAGGTGTGGTAGCTTGTGTGAAATAGTGACATTTAAAATATATATAATGCAGGTTAAAGAAGCAGCATGGATTTTACGACCTCTCGTGCTTCATATTCACTACCATATTTTTGGTGAGAAGGAACTGTGGGATTCAGTCTGTCTTATCGCTGCTTATGGAGGTGGAAACACATTTTCTAAAGTCTATGTTCTTCATACATATGTAAGGTAATACACTAAAAAGGCATAACAAAAATAAAGTAGCAGAATATTGCACCTCTTTAGTATTTGCAAGGAGGAGGTATAACTAAATGAAATTGAATACATTGTTGAGTTTGTAGTCCTAATTTTTTCCAGCTGTAAACATGTATTTCTTCCTTAAAATCTTTAACTTTACAAAACAGATGGAACTTTAATTGTATTTGTTCATAGCAATGGGGAAAAAACTTCTTGGTTAGAACTATATATTATTTTAATTTATATACTGAAGATTATAATCTTTCATATAAACAATCAGTAAAACCTCAACTGTTTTAATTAATTGCTTATAATGATGTCATTAAAAACTTTGACTTTTAAGGTGTTCATTTGTATCCTGGTGATAGTTATACAACACTGTGCAATTGACATGTGACACATGCAAATGTTAAATAAAGTAGCAGCATGAAGCCAATGACTTCAATAGTAATTTATGTAATGAAAGCCACCTGTTTGTTTTTATAATTCATAGCTTATAAATATAAATTGTATTTAAATGTAGTACTCTTCTAAATGTGATTGTATACTTACAGTAAATAGTACGTTTGGGGTAGTTTTCAACAATCATTCTGGCCCAAGATAAAATGTTGGTGAGATTCTGTATTTGGATTTTTTTGAATTGGTGCACATGTTTTATATAGGGGAAAGCATTTTTTTTTAAATTTTTAAATATAAATGCAAGGTCCGATTATCTTTCGTGTTGAAGTTAATAAGTATGAAAGGAAAAATATGCTTCTGAAATGGCACTGGTGCATTTATTGTTTGAGAGGATTGTACAGGGCTTTAAAAAGGAAGGGAAATAATACGTTACATTAGTTTTTAAGGGGAAAAAGGGAGACTATCGAATAAAGTCAGTTTTTTCGTTTTGCATGAATGAAATTAAGTCTGTATATTATGACAAATATCTTATAGTCCTCATCAAGCTGAGATATTGTGATCTGAAAATCTGCTCTTGAGGAAACTATATAATTGGCTGAACAGATTAGGGATATTAAAGATTAGTCCACTATCTGATAAGCATTTGCTTATTGGATAGTCTTTTGACTAGTCAATATCTCTTCCTCTCCCCTTTGCTGCATCTATGAGATTGAAGTACCCCTTCCCCCACTTTTCTGCCTCTAACACCCCAAGGTGGCTGCTGCACAGCTGATCTGCAGATCAGCTGTGCAGTGGGATACCCCTTTAAAATGCCCCTTTGAATTGCACAGAGGTGGCAGCCCTGGAGCTCGGAGTCAGCTAGGGACTCCCCAGCTGATCCTGGGTTCCCCGCGATATTTCCCTAGAACCTGGGATGAGCTAGGGACTCCCCAACTGACACTAGGTTCTGGGAAAATACCGTGGGGAGTCTGGGGTCAGGTGGGGACTCTGCGTGCAGACCGGAGTCAGCGGGACTTCCTGATGGCCCCGGGCTGCACGCAGAGCTGCGCATCTCCTTTGAAATGTACAAGAACCCCCAGCAGGAGCTCTTGTACCTTTCAAAGGAGGAATGTGAAAGTGCCTATCGACTAGTCAACGGAAATTCTATCAACTAGTCAACCGCATTTTAACATCCTTTGAACAACTATTAATAAACAAAAACATGGGAAGAATCTGAGTCAATTAACCGCATTTTAACATCCTTTGAACAGCTATTAATAAACAAAAACATGGGAAGAATCTGACAAAAGATTCTTGCAGTAGCACTCTGAATATAATGTGATCTAATTACTGTAATTTGTAGGCCTCAACTCTGATCTGAAGAGTGGTCACCTAGGGGATGTCTATGCTTCATTTAAAAAACAACAACAAGGCATTGAGTCTGTGAGCCTGGGTCAGCTGACTCAAGCTAAGGAAGAATGGGTTGCAGGACTATAAAGTTCCTGTGTACATTATCTGGGCTGGATCTGAGGTTTTGAGACCTCTCTCACGATTTCAGGGTCCAGATTCCAGCGCAAGTACAAATCTCTACACTGCAATTTTATAGTTCTGGAGCCCAAGCCCCACAAACCTGACTCGGCTCATCCAGGCCAGCACAGAATTGCTGAGAGGGAACCAATCCCAGTAAGGGTAAGAAGGTTAATCCATTCACTCTGAACATTAAGTCTTAGGCTACTCTGCCTTAACTGCCACTTAATGTTTATTGTAATTATAGTTTTTATGATGTAAAATAAGATGAAATCGAACTCTGATCAGACAGGCCTCTGAATACCAACATCAGATGGCAATGACGTTTGCTTATTGCCAGTTCAGGCCAGATTTGAACTGGTGAGTTAAGTGTGAAAGGCTCACAGAACTGATATATAATGTCCTCTCTTGACTGCCTTTTTTATTTCACTACCATTTTAAAACAAATCTCTAGAAGGAAATACTACAAGTAAGAGCTGATGGAGTTAGGATAGAAATACAAATGTTGATGCGATAGGAATAATCTGCCTCAGTTGATCATGCGCTTTTGGAGCCATACCCACAGTTGCTGACATCAAGATTAAAACTTATATAAAGAAATTCACTTACTCGATATATGACGGAAATAAGTAAACAGAGTCTGGACAATGACTTTTTTGGCATTTTAATCAATTTCGTGTCTTCCTTCAAGCATAGAAGGAAGACACAGAATTTGAGGTTGGGTATAAAGTGACCTGGATTCTGCGCCCAGCTCTGCCTCTGATTTGCTTTGTGCCTTTAAGCAAGTCAGAAAACCTGTTTATCTCCATTACCCTAATTTGTAAAATGAGGGTATAACTGTGTAACCAGCTTTATAAAAAAATTTAGTCTGTGTCATCTTTATCCTTCAATAATCTGCTGTCATTTCTGGGAGAGGTGGTATTATGGAGCAGCCCAAAGCTGGGTTCCAAATACTGAGCACACATGTACAAGTGTCTCTCTCTCACAAAAATCTGAAATTTGGAAAAACTTTGCCAGTTGGGGTGTTAGATATTGTGTAATTGAATAGTCATTTAACTGCATTAAATCTTAGGAATTATACAACTATTCAGTAGTCCCCAGGGGTGGGGCGGGCAGCCAGTGCACTCCCAGCCCCATTTTTGGGGAGCCCCCTGCTACCCTGTGTTGCTGCCTCTGTATCAGAGGCAGCAGCATGGGGTGGCAAGGGGAGCCAGTTTAAAAACTAGCTCCCCGCATGGACTAGCTGCCTGCAGAGGCAGCACTGTGGGGTGGATGCGGCCCTTGTCTGTGGGGGGGAGGGGTCTGAGCTCCTAATATTTAGGATAGAGGCAGCAGCGCTCGGAGGGAGGGAGGGAGGGATGGAGGACGGAGGTGGCACTGCGGAGGTAGTGCTGGGGGGAACTAGCTTTTAAGCTTGCTCCCCCCGTCACTGGCTCCTTTTCGCCCCATCCTTGCTGACTCTGATACAGAGGCAGCAGTGGGGGAATGCGTGTAGTCAACAAGATTAACTGATAAACCAATAATTCTAGGCTTAACTGTATAGCTGACTATACATTGAGATCCCTATTGCCAGCGTCACATTTAAACACACAAGCATATGAGTGTCCCTATGTATTCTCTTTTTTTCCTGCCATTGTGCTGCCATACACAAGCATATATGCCTAATCTATGGGTACGTCTAGACTACATGCCTCTGGCGACAGAGGCATGTAGATTAGGCTACCAGACATAGTCAAATGAAGCGGCGATTTAAATAATCGCCGCTTCATTTAAATTTACATGGCTGCCGCGCTGAGCCAACAAACAGCTGATCAGCTGTTTGTCG